TTTGGAATGCTGCATCATAGGCAACCAAGAGGCGTTCTTGTTGTAATCAAAAAGAATTAGATTGAATGAGTTTCAGAGACGACGGAAAGGTATATGCTACAATCACAGCTACAAGGCAAAGATAATCTAGAATAGATGAGTTGAAAACATAATAGAAAAGTAGTGTCAACAGACAAAGTGGTATAATCAAGGCTTGAAAATCAAGCCGTAAATGAAAGGTTCGTAAGTCGTTGTTGCCAACCAAAGAACATAAACTGCTGTCAAATTGTGAATGTCTTTGGAATAACTTGACAGGAAAGACTAGTTGATTATGAGGTTGCAATGCTAGGTATAAGAAAAACTGTTTACCATGTCAAATTACGGAGAAAGTGGAGGAAAAGTCATCTATTAGGGTTATAAATTAATGTGTATCTGACAAGGCAGACAAAGATGACATGAAGCTGAAAATAGTATTGTCACATGGGAGGAAGTCGCATGCTCCCCCAAACGCGTAAGTACCGGGTGTTGTTGCCAACTGTGACAGAAGAGTCAGCGAAGGGGAGAGCACTGGTAGGGTGATTATAACTGATATGGGGGAACTTTACAAACAATGTCACCGAGGCCTGACATTTCTGATTTCTCAACCTGCAAATGCTATTTGTCTGCCAGTCATATAATGCTTCATTACCCAGAACACATATGCTGATAAGGACTTCTGACTTTACACTGACTTTCCTGATTTGCATACTCGATCCTAGTCTGTGACTCATAATAAAACACTGAAGCCAGAGGGTCTGCATAAAAGCACAATTCCCGTTTACGTTTGTGCCATATGTGTGTGTTTGTGTTCAAACAGAGCTTCTTATTTATTTTATTAAACTTTGATTTTTGAAACTTTGTTTAATTTTTTTTTTTCCTTTTATTGCTATTATAGGGGACTTAAACGCCCCCTATATGATAGTACAGTGCAGGTGACGGGTTCTTTCTGTAAATCCTTTATTTATACAACAAAATGTTAATTATTTATCAGAAATTTTTCAGCATGGATAAAAATTTCATTCACTTGATTTTAAAAGTTAGAAACTCCAGGGCTTTAAAGGTTTGTCAAAAATGTAAAGAATTTTAAAAGGAACATCTCCTTGGCTTCTGCTAAGTAAACCTATCAGTCTTTGTAAAGTATTCTCATGATATCTAGTGTAAGGAAAGCTTTTTCGTTCACTGGCTTTGCAAAAGAAAATCTAGCCAGGAAGAGCTGTTTGTGATATTTGCAATTTTTCATGTTATATTAGTAGACAAAATGCAAGTCCTATTTTTAGGCTACTGCTAGGATATATTATAAGAGAATAAAAGCCCTATGATCAATATTTTGGTGATGTAACTAAAATGCCAAAGGGCTAAAGCAGACTTTTGTGATTATGTGCATTACAGAGTAGACATGTGCGATTCGTTTCGTTCCGAATCGAAATTCGGACGCATTTTCGGAAATTCGGATGTATCCGAATTACAGATATAACGAATGCAAACGAATCCTATTTTCCGTTTATGAAATTCGGCAGCGGTAGTTCGTTCGAACGTTCGTTTCGTTTTCGTTTCTTATTCGTTTCGTCCGTTGAGGAAAAACATTTTCCCCCTCAAATGTCACTTTGCTGCAAACGAACGAACGAATGAACGAAACGAATAAGAAACGAAAACGAACGTTCGAACGAACTACCGCTAACGAATTTCGTCCGAATTCCAAATTGACTTTCACACCCGAATCCCGAAAAACGAAATAACACAAATCCGAATTTAAAACGAAACAAATTTTTTGGCAGTGCACATGTCTATTACAGAGCAGGAAGTGTTGAATGTGCCTCCTCTCCACAAAACATGTGCAGCTCAGTGCCTGGTCCCAGCATGGTTCTGTGACAAAGTAGCTTCTGTGCGCATTAGTGTAGTTACGTCATCCTGGCCCAGCCAATCAAGAGGCCAAAGATGCTGAACTGGAAAGCAGACCGGGAGAAGATGGGGGCACTGGCGAGTGAGGAGAGTGCCGACATTGCAGCACTGGAGGGAATAATTTGCAAGGTAAGTCTGCCATTATGTGCTAATACACTGTGCTTTCTATTACATTATGGCAGCCTCTGTCAACCAGGGTGCCATGGCACCCTGGGGTGCTTTCCTGCTTCCTCAGGGGTGCCTTTTTTTATAGCATTGTGCCTTTCCATGGTTCGAGCGAGCTTTTGGTTTGAAGGAGGCACCTGATGCGAATGGAGAACATTGTAGTGAAAGGGAGGGACTGTGGAATGAATGGGGGGCTCTGGTGTAGAGGGGGGACTCTGAAGTGAAGGAAAGGCTTCTGATGTTAAGAGGGCTCCTAATGTAAAGGGTAGGACTTCTGATGTGAAAGAAGGGGCTCCAGATGTGAAGGGGACCTCCTAATTTTTTGTGTTGGGTCCACCCATCCATACCGACCCCCTATGTGGGATAAAGGCCTGGAATGCATTTAGAATGGACCACATGCTTGTTTTTTTTCCCCCCCTACATTTTGTACTGGGGTGCCTTAAGATTTTGCATACTTTTAAAGGGTGCCGTGACTGAAAATAGGTTGGGAAATGCTGGATTATAGCAAACACCTCCTGAAGGCCCATCATTCCTTTTAGGGTAGCAGTTTACTACCGCTTTAAGAACCTATTTAACTTCATTATTTCATCTCTAAATGTTCTATTTAAATACTATTCCAGTGTAACTGTTTTGCATTGTTTTGTATAAATTTACCACACTGATTGAACTTTCATCAGGAATTTACTTCAATAAGTAAATACCCGAACAATACCTGCATCCAATCAGATTATTCAGGTATTTTGACAGGCAGTGGGGCCGACTAGCAAGATACTGAAACTTGGCCCAGTGGGAGATTCCTCCAGCCACACAGTTTAGCGTAGATGGAGGAATCTGTTCCACTTTTTCCATCTGACCATAGAAAATCTGCAGAAAATCTATTGGTGTATGGCCAGCTTAAGAGCCAGCCGACTCACAGGATCAGATGAGTATTTTTTTTTATTTACTTGCCTAGACACAAATGAGCACTTAACCCTTGCAGTGCGGGGGTAGCCCAGATCCTAGGGTTAATAATAATCTTCCCTGGAGTTCTTCTTTAAAAGACCAGCTCAGCCTCTACTGGGCGACGTGTACCCGGTGAGGTATCAATTCATCCTCCCATTCCTACCTTGTCCTCCTGTCTTCATCTTCCCCTCCTTCCTTCCCCCTACCTATGTATTTTCATCTTTCAGTCTCTCTTAATCTCAATATTTCTACCTGGTTCTTGTGCCTTCCACTTCACCAGGGAGTTCTGTCTTCAAAAGTGTATGATGGTTGATATCATATGACCTCCATTATACCGGTATTTCAGTGCTATAGGAAGGTTGGTACAAGCCAGTTTACCCTTTCATTGTAGTTGTTACTCTGGATACCTCCGTCATGGAGGCGGCATTGTTCTAATGCTCCTACAAAGGACGCCATGTTTAGCCTTTTTTGCTGATGTTCACTTACTAACCTGACGGCATAGATTGGATGGTGCCTACATCTGGATGTAATACTAGCATATGTTAATCTGCGAAATTTGTACTTCTCACACATACTCAAATTGTTCGATGATGGCTGTCCTCTTGGGATGCTATGTTTGTTTATGTATATCTGTTTGTTTGTGAAAAACCTCAATAAAAGCTTATTGAATTAAAAGACCAGCTCAGAGAGGTTCAGATAGTACACCTCATGCAAAACGTAGCAGCAAAAGTTTGAGATTTTCAGTAGTTGCTCTACCTCCACCTTCAATCCGGCACCAAGTGGGGATATATCACTATTAAAAATCTATGCTGAAATGAAGACTATTGGCCCATGAGAGATTTTTTTAATAGTGTTAAAATCACTCATTGGACATACACATAACATTGCACATTCGTGTACTATGACATCTCTGGCTATTGATGGTCTCCAAAGTGTGATGCAATGCTCATCATTACACCGAGATGGCAAAATAAGGGGCTGTGAGCTGGAAATTTTCTGAGACATTTGCACAATAGGCAGCAGACGAAAATGTATAACCTGACAGACTGTAAATTCTATTCAACAAACTGTAAGGCTTTTGGGCCACAATTCTAATTTTCAGGCATGTTTTGCTGCCAGTGCTAAAAAAAATAACCGTTATGGCAAATGATTGTTATAATCTACGTGAAATAACCATTTTATCTCCTGTTGACATTCTTAACCCCTTTGTGACTGACGACGTACAGTGTACGTCGCCAGCATCGGGGCTGTTTAAACAGACTCCCGGCAACTTTTGCCGCCGGGAGTCTGTTTAAACTTGTAGAGCCGACCGTCGGCTTTACAACAGAAGCGATCCTGAGCCTATTTTTTTTTTAAATGTCTTTCGATAGAACACCGGCTTCCCAGGCAATCAGGAAGCTGGGCGGCGGGTCGCCTAGCTTCCTGATAATCTGGGCCCACGGTACCTCGGGATGCCGGTATCTATATCGGCTAATACTGGAAAAAATAAAAATAAATCGGTACTCTATACCAAAAAAACGCTTTCAGTGCATCCCTAGCATTGTCCTATAAAGTGAGATGCAGTCTGTACTCATAATACCGTAAAAAAATAAAAATAAATAATATTAACACCATAGTGCTCTGCTACATTTATAATATGTTTATAGAACACGATTGTCCGTATATTCTGGTAACCTATGTGCAGTTCTGCATGCGTGACAGGTTATCTTTAAAGTAGTGTCTTTCTGTAGAGCAAATATTTTATTTATTCATAGTTGTTTTTTTACTTCAACACAGGACAATACAAGTAGCTTATTTTGGGGAAATAACAAAAGGTATTATTTTATATACAATAATTAAACATTGCAAAAAAAACAAAAACATTTTGGGAGAGAAAAATGAAAAAAATGTGTCTTTTTGTTACGTAAAAAAAATGGAATGACAAGAGTACACAGTATGATTTACAAGTGTAAATGGCCTACATACACCAATCTTTATGGACATTTGAATTTATAAAAGCCTAGTAAAAGGTAATTTCCAGGTCGTCAGTGCTCAGCAGCTGCCTCGTCCTGCTCATTGTCACCATTTTTCGGGGGAGCTTCACCAGGTATTAGGCATTGCACTTCCTCTGCGTTCAGAGCCACTTTCTCTGGCTGCAGCCACCGCTTCAAATGTTCTAGTGTGCTGGAAATGTGAGATTTAGAAAAAGGAAATAAATCAATAGGGATAAGCAGATAAACAGTGGGCAGCACTTCTTTCTTGCAGTACCGGTCCCTGGTTTGAATCCCAGTCAGGACACTATCTGCAAGAAGTTTGCATGTTCTCTCTATGTTTGTGTGAGTTTCCTCCCACACGCCAAAGACATGGTGGAAGGTTAATTGGCTACTCTCTAAATTGACTCTTTATGCGTGTGCAATAGCCTCAAGTTGCAATTAGACCATAGATTGTAAGCTCCTTGAGGGCAGGGACTGATGTGAATGTGTGCTATGTAAAGCGCTGTGTAAATTGTCGGCGCTGTATAAATACAGGTAATAAACAGCAACACAAATCCTTTGCAGGCTCAAAAAGCTTTTATATGTTTCTCATCTGTGCATTAAGCCGTTTGCCCAGAGTAAAGCTTTACGTTAACATTTGACTCAGCAAAATAATGTTACACATAAACAAATTAGAAACATGGACTTTCTCCAGGTGTTTTCAGTCCAATGATTGCACAGGTCCTCTTCACCCTCCTCTTCCTCCGGCATGGCGGATTCTAAATGATGCAGAGAGGTGCACCATGTAATGATGTGGTGCTCATCTCTGCAGCATTCCCCTAGCAGTCTAAGGCAGAGGTGGAGCCTTGAGGACCTGGGCTCATAGGAAGTAGGTGGAATGACTGTGGGCATCGTTAAGCCAAGAGGATGACCAACGTTGGATTAGTGAACAAGTGGGGCTGTAAGGGAAAGTGCCCAAGAGGAGGCAAGTATAACAGATAGTGCCGATTTTATTCTAGAATTGCTGAGGAATGATTGTGTTTTCCTGAAGCTGGACTTGGTGATGTAATATAGTGCAGCTCATCAGTTCTTAGATGTGGGCGCTGCATTTGTTTTCCTAAAGGCTTTTTCTGCTTTTATTTTCACCTGGTGATCCTGCAAGTAACTCACTTCCTGTCCTAGGGTGACAACACTCACTCACTGTACTATAGATAAGGGATTAGTATTGTCCCCTTGAGCAGGTATACAGAACACCTCCCCCTCTCCTATTCTCCAGAACACAGATTAGGGTGTTCTGCACCCTGAAAGAGAACTGAGAATACTAAATAACAGACAGCAGAAGCATAGAACACAGGAAGTTATCAGCTCACAAGATTTTTGCCAGGACCAAGGGGTATTTTTTTTCCCCTCACTTCTCAAACAAATATAACAAAATGCATTCAAAAGGTATGCATATTAAACAATAACACTTTCAGTGGGGCTACCCCCGCACTACAAGGGTTAAGAGCTTGGTTTGGTCTTCGGTCCAAAATACATATTCATCCGATCCTTGGTCCCGTGGTGGTGTCTGCTCCCCTCTCCATCCCTCCACTCCCGCTCTGGAATGTCCCTAGACGTCTTCAAATCCAATGCAAATGAATGGATTGATGACGTCACAGGTCCTCAGACCATCGGAGCCCGGAGGATAGGAGGCTGCAACCAGGCGGAACCGAGGATTGTGTGTGTATACACACACACACATTTTTTTTTCAATTATTTTAGACCCCGGAACAAAACAAACATTTAATCCTTGCAATGTGGCAGCATCACCACAGCAAAAAATAAAAAGAACTATGAGGCGAGTGATTTACACTCATCCTCATAGTTAGAGCCGACCTGTAACAATTTAATTGTCAGAGGTCGGCTCTATTGAGCGGGAAGAACATGTATCGCCGCTCGCTCACTGCACGATCATGCAAAAAGGTGACTGTCAGTCACTGCACCCCGCAGGGATTCCCCCCTCCCCTCCTCCAGTGCAGAGTGGAGAAGTGGACGGGGGAGGGGGCGGGCACAGCTGACTCTGCCTCTAGATGTGCAAAGCCCGCTGTCACTCACGCAGCTGGGTGGATCTCAGCAGTATTGTTGGGATCCATCCCGGCTGTGGCGCTCTCAGTATATAGCGAGCAATAGCCCGCTATATACTGAGCTTTGGGTCACAGGAGGACATTGGTATATGTCCTCCCATGACACTAAAGGGAACTATGCGATAAAAAGGTTACCCCATAGTTCTCGTTTAATATGCCCAGAGTTAGTCTTTAACAGATCAAGAGACAACAAATAAGAAGCTTATTGTTAGGGTGTAAATATACTTTAATCAAGTGTTGCCTTCACACCTATAGTTAGCTGTAATTGTTATACTAATGATAAACATTGGTGTATTCACACCTACCTGCTATCAATATCAGTAGGAACATAAGCTTCAGGTTCAAATGCCTCTTGGAGAAATCTATCCCAACATTCCTTCTTTGCCTGTCCTAAAGAATGTAACATTTCTTTGGAGGTCACTTCACGGTTCTGACCTTTAATTCTTTGTAACCTACGTTCTGGGGACAAAGAAACAAGTTTACAACAATTACTAGTATACACCTTCACTAACATACAAATAATGTGTAGTACAGCCTTTCTTAACCAGGATTCCTCCAAAAGTTGACAGGATTCCTTAAAGAATATGTCAAGGCAAATTAAAATAAATATATCTCTATCTTTAGTACATCTCTGGAATACATGCACATTTCCCCATGGTTTATCCCTTTAAACATGCTGTAAGTACAGGAAAATCATGGATTATGTGCCAGAAGCGTAGTATGCTCCTAGCTTCCTCATTGACAGGACAACACCGCTCAGAATGCCTATGTGCTTGGTGTCAGCCCTGCCTACTTAATTTCTGATGAATTACAAAGAACACAGACACTTTCCTCATTTCCTTTCCCACTCCTTATTAGCTCACAAGATTTCTGGCAAAATCTACAGGTATTTTTTGCACCTGTTAAACAGATATAACAAAACGCTTCCAATGGTATATTTAGCAGACCAGAAGGGAGTAAATAAGAGGAGTTCAATGTTAGGCTTTACCCACACTTCAAACAGTAACAATGGCAGACTGACCTCCAGCCTAAAGGTGCTTGCACATTTTCGGGGACAAGATTAATCAGCAGAGCCATCAGAGAGGGACCAGTGGAGCCTTCTCCACTGAGATAAATAACTACATATTTTCCTGTCATTATGTTTCATTTTATTATCATTTTTTTAAAAAATTTCTGAAAATTATTTTGATGTATAGAGCAGGAGTGTGATACAAAATGTTTTGGGGGTCAAATGCTCTAGGTAGCAGTGGCGTCACAAGGGGGGTGCGGCCCGCACCCGGGTGACACCATTGGAGGGGTGACACCAAAATGACAGTCATTTTGGTGTCACCCCCTCTGAAAAGTCGGGCGTTCGGTCCATGACCATGACAGTATCAGAGGAGGGGACCTGGCGGCATACCTCATCCCGCTGGGTGACTGTCCCCTCCTCTCTCTGCTAGTGTCCATCACCAAGATGGCCGCCGGCAGGTATCAGAAGACTGCCGCGCGTGTGCGATGATGTCATCGCGCATGGTGACACTTGGTTACCGCTCCGGGTGTCACCCAGCCTCTGGACGCCCCTGCTAGATAGGTTACTTCTTATTTATTATATCTCCATCATACAGAACAACCTTATGCACCGTGAGCTGTAGATGTAAATTTTAGAATTTAGATTCCCTTAGATGTGAAAACTATTTCAAGGGTTCCTCTGGGGTAAAATGGTTAAAGCGGACCTTTACCCGCATCTTTAAAATGACAACAAAGAAACCCTTAGAAAGGTTTAGTAATGACAATCTACAAACACATACTTCTATATAATTGCTGGAATTGTATTCTTTGCATACCTTATTTTTAATTTTCCACCCCATTCTTCTCACAGTGGCCATTTAACTAAGTGCAGATTAATATATATCCCTTTACTTCCTGGAACTCTGGCACATGTGACCATGCCTATCATCTCAGGGGAGGAAAATGCCTTTCTCTGAGATCTTATGATATTACAAATGAGATTTCCCAGAAATGCTCTGCTGATGTAACTTTCCCAGTGTGCATCTCTTAGGCACGTGCTGCATCACTAATGCCTAAGAGAACCAGGAAGAGGAAAAACTGTGTTTAGTTAAAAAAAATGTTTAACTAATAAATGTAAAATTATTACATATCAGCATGCAGAGCTGCAAGCTGATTTGATTTTAGTGAAAGGGGGTAGAGGTTCTAATACAGCAGCGGTCTAACTCAAATTATACAAGGATGCGACAAAATATATTAGAGCTGCAACAACTAATCGATGTAGTCGATTAAAATCGATGATGGAAAACTTTGTCAATGGTTTTCCATCATCGATTAGTCGGGTATCGATTAGTTTACCCTTCTCACGGCTCCACACAGGACCTGAGCGCTACGCCGCGCACGGCACACCTCTTCTCCCCTCTCTGACGCGCCGCTGCCTGCCAAAGATCGAGGGGGAATGGCACCCGACAGGCCCACGATCCTGCATCTAAAAGTAAGAGTGTCTGTGACACACACACACACACCGATTGGGTTATTTTAATGTATTGCTGGGATAGTGGGAACTGTTGTATTCCTCTATAGTTGATGGTACATACACAGAGCAATGTACCATCAGCTATAGAGAATACAAATCCCAGCAATACATTATGCACTGTATGTATATTGTATTGCTGGGATTTGTTGTATTCCTCTATAGCTGGTGGTATATTCTGCATTGCGCTGTGTAATCATTATACAACGCAATGCAGAATACCACCAGCTATAGGAGGAGTACAACAAATCCTGGCTACAATACATTATAGTATAATGTATGTGCTGGGATTTGTTGTATTCCGCTACAGTTGGTGATATTCTGCGTGCATTGCGCCGCTGTATAATGAATTTAATGCTGGCTGCGATTTGCTGTATTCCTCTATAGCTGGTATATATTCTGCATTGCGCTGTATAATTATACAGCGCAATAATTTACCTCCAGCTATAGAGGAATACAACAAATCCCAGCCAGCAAGAATACATTATACAGCGGCGCAATGCACGCAGAATATTACCAGCTATAGAGGAGTACAACAAATCCCAGTAAGAATACATGATACAGCGCAAGCAGAATACCACCAGCTATAATGTACTATTGCTGGGATTTGTTGTATTCCTCTATAGCTGGTGGTATTATGTGTTGTGCTGTGTAATGTATTATTGGCATTTTCTTTTTTTTATCCGATCGAACTTAATAATCGGCTAACTAATCAATTTTGAAAATAATCATTAGCTGCAGCCCTACTAAATATTGCAGTATATTTTAATTCGGTCCACAGAAAAACCTCAGAAAGTCAAGCAGCCACTGAATCTTAAAAAAAAAAAAAAACCAGATGAGTCACAGGAGGCTAGGAAACACAGTCAATTTCAATCTGTTGCTACGGCGAGATTTAGGCTATTATTGACGTGACCTCATTTATAGTAGTTTGAAGCTTGGCAGCAGATACCCTGATGTTCCTTCAATCACCTTTACCATGCTCGACCAAATCCCAGCTCTGCCACTGTGAGACCCTCAAAAAAAATCCGATACAAATTATAACTGCAGACTTATTGCATTGGGTTCAATTCACACAGCTATTACACCAGGACAAAGATACTTATTTTCAGTTAAGTGCAGTGAGGTTTGAAAGTTACAGTCACATAGCAGAAAATAAAGATGCATATCCTTGTGTAAAGCTTTGAGAAATGGTCAGTAAAATAGCATCATTACTACTCCTTTAGATGAACATGGGCTGTAAGACAGGGGTAGCAAACCTCTGGTCCTCCAGCTGTGGTGAGACTACAAATCCCATGATGCATCTCTTCAGGAGTCATGTCTGTGGCTGTGAGAATCTTGCATTGCCTCATGGGATTTGTAGTTCCACCACAGCTGGAGGGGCGGAGGTTTGCTACCCCTGCTGTAAGAGGTATAAATCTTTAAAATAATATATGCCCCATGTAGTACTATGGATCCCAAAACTCACAAAAAAAGGCTTCTCTTTTGTGCTCCAAAAAGCCACTGTAAAAAGTCGGCCTGACCCATGAGCAGGATGGTAGTCATCAGAAATCTGCTCATTTGCATATTATCCGCTCTAACAAAAGACAGAAATACCAACCCATTAGCAGAAAATATTTAGAGAGTCTAGCAGCTCCTTCCGCACAGTCCATACTGAAGTGCTTAAATACTCACACTGTTTCAACTTTCAATGCAATGTCATATAGGGATACATTAAGTGGAGGCAATGAGCCATTTTGGGGTGCTTATTACTGCTCAGAGATTTTCTAGCTTGGAAAAACCTCTGCACAATGGGGCCAATCCTTCGTTAGTGAGAAAAATGGAACTGGTAAACTACGTATTCACATTTTTCTGCATGGCCAGGAAAATGTATCCACACTCATTCTTCTTGGACAGGCATTTCCCTTCCAAAGCCACCCTAAGGCCCCATTCACACTTGGCGATTCGCAAATCGCGCGTTTGTCGCGCGTTTTGCATATTGCGTGATTTGTCGCGCAAATGCTTGCATTGAAAAGCATTGAATCGTGGCAAAATCCGCTCCAAAAAGGGTCCTGCTGTAGTGACACACGACCCACGACAGCAGGACCCTTTGCCCCATTGCCAAGCATTGGAGAGTGATATCGCGAGGTAAATAGCCGCGATATCGCGGGAATTACCGCGCGATAAATCGCTCAGTGTGAACGGGGCCTAAAGCTGCAGAGGTAGCATATGTTCTGTTTCAGAGCTTGATGTTTTCCTAAAATGTTTTTGAAACCTATGCAGTTATTAGTGATGCCCATAACCTGATCAACTACTCTATAGTTCAGTCTTTCTCAACCTGGGCGTTGCGGCACCCTGGGGTGTCTTCACATTTTCACACAGTATTGTGCATTTCCATGGTGCAGGCGAGATGGACACGAGCACCATTAAAATGCATTAGACTAATTCAGGGCCTCCCTTAGCATTCAGAATAGCAGGGGGGGTTTGAGAAGCAGAACAAGGGCCAATCAGTGCTGTGCAAGGAGTGTGCTGACTGGAGGAAGGAGCAAAATGACAGAGAGACGAGCTTATCAGTCTGCCGCTTTTTCTTTTGCTGTCCAATCACAGGCTGGGGACGAGATGGAGACCTGTTTTTTGGGGGGGTTTTCACAGTTCAGTAAAAATCAGTTTTTTTGACCTGCCAAAGCTGTTTAAAGCTCAAAAAAGGATGAACAGAAATATAAGTCATTTGTCAGGTAAAACAGCTCCCTCATATGTATTGCATCTGTGTATTAAGCCATCTGCCTGGAGTTCAGCTGTAATGCCCAAAAGAACATATGCCAGCAATGTACACCGAGTGTACATGAAGCAGTCATATACAGCTGCTGTATATGAACATAGAAACTTACTTTTTGCGTCCTCCTTCAGCTCCTTTTCAAATGGCCGCCTCTGTGCTTTGCAAGCAGACTGTGTAAATTAGGGATGCACAGATACCGATATTTTGGTACCAAGTACGAGTATCGATATTTTTTCTTCGGTACTCGCCGATACCAAATACTGAGTACCGGAAGTCCCAGGGACCTGGCTCAGGGAGCCAGGCAACGTGTAATGACTCACCACCTGGCTTCCTGATTAGCCGGGCAGCGTGTAAAGACTCGCCACCCAGCTTCCCGATTAGCAAGGAAGCCGTCCCATGCTTCTCGTCACTATGTGACGAGAAGCATGGAGCCGGTTTGCTGGCCAATCATGGAAGCCGGGGGCCATGTAATGATGTGGCACCCTGCTTCCTCGTCATGAGATGACGAGGGAGCATGAAGCTGGTTTCCCGGCCAAGCAGAAAGCCGGGCAGCGTGTAATGACATACATGGTGCTGGCTTCCCGGCCAATCAGGAAGCAAGGCACAGTGTAATGACGTGTTGCCCGGCTTCCTGATGGCCAGCTTCTCGACCAATCAGAAAGCCGGGCAACGCCTCATTACATGGCGCCCGGTTACCTGAGTGGGCAGAAAGCCGGCTCCATGCTTGGTCACCTGGTGACGAGGGAGCATCTAGTCGGCTTCCCTGCTAAATGAGGAAGCCGGGTGGCGAGTCTTTACACGCCGCCCGGCTTCCTGGCTAATCAGGAAGCCAGGTGGCGAGTCATTACACGCTGCCTGGCTTCCATAATGGGACTTCCGGTATTGTTATTTGGTATCGGTGAGTACCGGAAAAAAATATATCGGTACTCGATACCAAAAAAACGGTAGTTCAGATGACGGCGTTAGGGAATGCATGGGTTGGAGAATCACAAATCTGTCCGCACTCAAGGGTTTTCCATAACAAAGTGACCAGATACAATAAACCAATGTCAGTTAGAGGAAAATAGGCTATGTGTTTCTATGCCAAATGTCCAGGCTAGAATGAAGTACATCCATAGAGCTTTCTATATACAGATAGGAAATCTATGTGTTAGCAATTTATATAGGAAAGCTATTCTTTCTAAAAATATTTTTTTTTTAAAGAAAAATGAACTAAATCAGTAAGCAATTGCACATCTACTAACCTAGAGATGCTAAATATACTTCAGAGTCTTGTAACGGAGCCCATGGTTTTTGACTGAAATTGTGAGAGTTAAGTTCAGATTGATTTCCGTTATTGTCATGGTTGAGTTCATCAGGAAAAGGGCCCAGAAAGGAGTCTGAAAAGGTTTCTTGAGCATTTACTTCCTGTGTGTCTGGAGCATGTGGACAAATCTCAGCCCACAAATCCTGGCCAGAGACATTAGCGCTGCAATCTAGGCTCTCCAGCATCCTCATTGATGCAGTAAATAATATCTGTAAAAAAAAAAACCAAACACTAAACATGTTAACAATGAAATACATATGTATGAACAACAAATATAAGGAAACAGTCTTTATTGGTCACTCATATAGCAGTGGGGAAAAAGGCCATTGGGGCCTTTACAACAGAGTAATGTCAACCGCTAAATGTTGAAACAAGTTGACTATCTGGCTGAATACAAACCCTAAGGATAGGTTTAGCTTTGCTTGCGGCATTAAAAACATTGGCCAAGGCCATCATGGTGACACAAGCACTCTTACTATCCCTCCCAGTGACTACGCAATTCTAAAAATTCTATATCCTAGTGCAATGGGCTCCACAGCTTGGCACTTAATTTAGTGATGAGGCTGGGCTTGGTGTGAACCCAGTTCGCCTGAGTTTGCTCAGGCCAGCTCAAAACTCCGATCACCACCCCCTCCCAATCAGATCACTGATGAGCTGATACTTGGTGTGAACCCAGTTCACCTGAATTTGCTAAAGCCCACTCATAACTCTGACCACCACCCCCTCCAAATCTGATTAGCGATAAGGCTGGGCTTGGCACGAGCGCAGTTTATCTGCGTTGGCTCAAGCCACCTCAAAACTCTTACCGCAACCCCTTCCTCCCGACCCAATCAGTGGCAGCCATTGTGATGCGGACATTCCCCTACCTTTTCTGATGTTCGCTGCTGGGTGGGTAATGCGCCTCCCCACAATTGATTGGGTCGGGATGAGGGGGTGCCGATCGGAGTTTTGAGTGGGCTTGGACAAACTGGGTTCACACCAAGCCCAGCCTCATCACTAATCTGCAAAGATCGAGGCGGGCTCAATGCAAAAGCACATAGAAAACAATTGTTTCCTATCTGGCCTGTTGACATCATGATTATCTGGTGTGGTGCATAAAAATGCAGCATGTCTGCATGTTTATACAGCACCACAATGTGTCAAAACGCACTGCGGTGCGCCAACTTCAATGAAGTGCCGTTTTGTGACATTATAAAGAAAAAAGTAAACAGTGTGATGTTTTGTAACAATGCATCACACCGCCCCTTCCCGCCACACACAACAGACACCAGCCCACCTGTGTTTTAGAGTCCAAGCTGTGAACAAGCTCTAATAGACAGGACAGCCATTATCTTGGGTTAGTGTTCTATTATAAAGAAGCCTTGTCTTCCTGCACTAGTACTTCTGTTAGATAAATTGGCTGTAGGAATGTTACAGCAAGGAAACCTCACTGATCAAAGAGTTAGCAATACGGCATGTCACCATGCATGCAATAACCATAAGCAGAACTATGAATGGATCCCTTTACAACACAGTTAACATTTAGGAATTGTAAACAACCCCATGAGTGATAATATAATGCACGTATCCGCAGATTTCATGTAATATACTCACTGAAAGCGCACTGCAGATACTATACTACCTCCCAACTGACCTCTGCACTAACAATAACACAACAACACTACAGCTGCACCACTCACCTCTCTTTCCTTTCTGCGGCTATGACACTTCCGCCCTTATGTGGGCGTGTCCTGTCTGCACTTTATAGCACACACTATCTTGCACCGTGATAGGTCCATTAGCGTGGCAGTCATCGAAGCTCCGACCAATTGCGCCTTTCGAAGTAGGACGGAGCCGTGCTCAAAACGTTTGTCATAGCAACTTGCCTATCGCACGCTGGAGACTTCACATACGGCTGTCGCGAAGACCAATGTGGTTGTGCAGGTGAGTGCAGTGTCAGTGCGAAGGCGAGCTTAGGCCGGAAGTGCGAAGCAAAGGGGGTCGTGTGTATGTGCTTAGAGTGCATACATGTGCGATAGTAAAGACTGATGGTTATTTTATGACAGCTGCTGGGAGTTACTAAACACTATTTAAATTGGAGAAAATACATTTGAGCACCGAATTGTTGCCAATAGCAACGTATAATGTTTTACCTCTTATTTTGCGAAATGGGCATGTTCACCCCCATTATAAAATCAATGCAATGCATTCCTAATGTAGTACATGCGTTTGCATGTATTGCATTAAGAAGTCAGTTTTTTTGGCGGGTGCAAAGCTCCAAAGATGCTGCATGCAAGAAGTTTTTTCACGCAACCTGTAGATCGCTCACATCTGTGGTGTGTTACGCAGTGTGTGTGTGTGTGTGCATTGAGCTGTTATTCGCAGTGAATAGAGTGCATTGCACTATGGTAGATGTGTTTGCGGTAATGCATGGTAAACTGCACATTTTATAGTGTGTTGATGCAAAGCATAGATGTAATCGGGGCCCCCGAACTGTATTCTCTAAAAAAAAAAAAAACACTGCATCATTGCACTTCATATTTCCGTTATATGTTTGTGAAGGTTCTCATTCATCCAGGTCATGGTATAGCTACTAGTCACGCTTAGGGCGGTGCGCCCCATATCCAATGTGTTCCGGCACAGTTGGTGCGTGGAACGCACTGGATCACATAATTAAAGCCTCCTGTGTTTTGGAGCGGGAGGGGTGTGGTGGTGCCATTCATGTCAGTGGCACCGCAGACACGCCTCCTGCCCACAGTGCGATCAACCGCAGCAGAACTTGTGGTACAGCAATGCCCGCAGTCCGGTGCGATCGCAAAAAATAGTGCATCCCTGTGTGTGTTGTAAAGTAGCCACAGCTCCAAGCTCGCTTCCGTGATAGACTTAAATCTCCTGTTTAGTTTACTAGTTTGTATTGAGATTGTAGTCCATCACAGGAGGGAACTTGGAGCGGTGACTACTTTACAACACACACAGGGACCATGGGGAACAAAAGTAGCCACCCTCCAGAAGGAAGCACAGTGTCAGCACCAATTCAGAGATGATTTGAGAATACACAAATAAGAAACATTTTTGCTATTCGTTGAGGTACTTGATAGGGATGCACTGAAATGAAAATTCGTGGCAGAAACTGAAAATTAAAAATTTGCCTGTCTGATACCAAAATCAAAAATGCCCGACTAGCCTCTGCCACCCCCTGCTGTCATCTTCTTCCTGCCCACCCATTGTGACCAAAAAGATGCAGATAGCAGGAAGTGGGCGGGAGCAATAGCAGGCTGCCTGTTGCTCCTATCTGCTGTCAGGGCCCGTTCACACCACAGTCTACGCTCCAGAGTGCTTGGCCTCTGGGAGGCTCCCTGCGTTCAGGGTCAGGAGGGGGCATGGCGGTGCATTGAAGCCACGTTCCCCGTCTGCAGTGTGATTGCCAACGCAGGCACATTAGTGGTGCCTGGGTTGGCAATCCCGGAACGCAGGCACATTAGTGCAAGCACTATTTTTGTAGATCGCACTGGACCGGAATAGCAGGCACGAATGTGCCTGCGTTCCGAGTTCGGGCGATCGCACTACGGGCAGGGGTGTGGCTGCGGTGCCATTGACATTGCCATTGGTTCACACCTATGCGTATTGAATATGCGCGTTGGTACCGCGATTCGCGGTAAAAAAACGCGCTACAAACGTGCGTTTCCGTGGGCTACTTGGCTGTATCCCAATGGAAACGCAAGACCAAAACGCCCCAAAGAAGTACATGTACTTCTTTGGGCGTAGGTCGCTTTGTAGCGCGTTCAGACGGGCTGAAATACGCCCAGGTGTGAACCATACCCATAGGAAACAATGGGATTTCTGTGTTTAAGCGTTTTGCAGAGCGTACGAACGCGCTACAAAACGCCCAGGTGTGAACCAGGCCTGAGTCAGCAGAGGAGAGGGCCTGAACGTGAACTCCTTTCTCTAACAGGCTCTGCCCACTGCCAGTGTCACTGGGCTAGTATAGTAAAGCCCAGTGATGTGGGTAGAGCAAAAAGAACCCCTGAATCATGTCTGATCTTCTGGTGATCTCCTCCACCGCACCGCTCGGCCTCCTGTGACAGATTCCCCACCGCGCTGGGACATATAGCAGCAGGCAGAGGAGAAAGCACGGATGCACTGCTATTTCGTCCGAAAGATGGTACTATGGGCATTTTGCCAAAAGTAACATTTTCGACCGATATGTTTCAGGGGCCGAAATTTTGGTGCATCCCTAGTTAAAAGTTTATAATGAGTGGAAGATTGTCAAAGAACTCCATCATAGAATTTCAAAACATACACCGATCTATCCCCAAAGTCGGACAACAGCGACCCAACCAGTCACATCAATCAGGTGCAGGCTCCAAGCATACGAGCGTAACAAAATCCTGAAATTCCAACGTAGAGCCACACATTCGACAGTTCATAAACTAATCAGATTCATTGAAAGTTCGTACCATCCAAGTACACAGCAATATCCCACACTGATCCCATAGCCTTTCACACGTTCCACCAGATGGGCTTAAAAAGAAGAACCCCATTTATGTAAAAAGTGGACTCTTGCAGTGGGGCATGTGACACTGACGTATTGAAATGGCACTGTGAGCTATACTGCTGTAAGGCCCCCGTACACCAGCAGTTTTTTAGCTCATAGTGCCAACTCAATAAACATACAATACTCAGCGCTGCCCAAAGCGGGAGCACAAATCCAACCTAGGGTGACTACACTACTTATTCTTGGGGAGATACTCAGAAAGTTGTGTCACTTTAGGACAGGAAGTTATGGATAAGCGTATTACTGCCAGGATCTCAGGTTACCAGTAGTGAAACTTGGGTAAGGTAAGCTACTATGTTCTGAATCTTTCTATCCAGGTTTAGATACTTTTTAAAAAAGAATTCTGAATGACCTCTATGGGTAGCAGCTCCAGTTCTGTGCTCATTTTACATTCTCTGATTTTATTGAATCAGTCCCCCTTAGAACTGCATGGAGAGCAGTTAGTATGGGCTTCTCTTTCTTTTTATATATTAGGAGCAACTAAGCAGTATCAAAATATTTTTATTTTCAAATACCAGCAGTGCTCAGGGAATTTTGGTGACTAGAAATGAATTAATAGGTCTTCATTGATTGAGATGTAACTCAAAATTGGCATATTTTTGGACTGCAGATGTCTGCAAATTTTTTAAAGTATATCTAAAATCATTTTTTACTTAAATCCACTGTCATGTTTTTTTTTTCCTTTTTGTTTTCTTTTCTATATCCATACTTAAGAACTCCTCTGGATCTCCCCGAGTGTTCAGCTCTTCAGGTTGACTGCTGGCTCTCCGGGCCGCTGGGAATTTTCTGTGGCTCTTCTGCTGTAGGCTGACTGGAGTAGTGACAGCAGTTTCAATACTCCTTTCAGCTAGGAGCAGGGAGCAGCAAGCCGGGGCTGGGAAGGAGGTGTAGGCTACGTTCTCTCCTCCATCTCTTCTGTTGCTGTCCTCCTATTCTCAATGCAGTCTGAACTCCTGTGCTTCCTAGCCTTCTGGCTGAGTTTAGACCAGATTCAGTCTCTTCTGTCCCCAGGAGCACTCTGATGTCCATTTAGACGGAGTGTAACACAGAAGCAGCAGCCACCCCTAATGAAGCTGCTTGCTAAGACTCTCTTTCCCTTATCTCTGCCTTCTCACTTCTCTCCATGGCTGTCTATGTTTCCTTTATGACATTTGGCACCCGAGCAGAGAGTGGTCTCTTAATGCCAAGCACAGAGACCCTCAAGAATGGGGAAAGCTGACAGTCACAACCAGCAGTGGAGATGCTTTCAGCACCTCTTGGATGCATAAGCCTAATGCTGACCAATAAACAAGTTAATAATATTGTTCCTTTATTGGAAGAGTACTTTGTAATTGTTCATATATTGAAAGTAGCCTGGCTGGGTGCACACAGGCAACTTGTGACATTGTTGGGCCCCATAGTCTGTCATGGCACACTATGTGCATCGCTATATTAAACCATTTCCTCTATTTCACTATGGCATGCTGTTGGTCCCTCCCTTGCTCAGCTCATTACCCGACCCCAATTTTAGGCTCACCAGCTTTTGGAAACGTCCTTTTTCTTTCTGTCTTAGAGACATAGCAGAAAATGGTAAATCCTGTTGTTCCTGTGATCGGGGTAACCTATGATATTCTAAAAATACCATCTTTCTAAAAGTAATACATTTCTTAATTAGCACATAGTTTAAATGTTTAAAAGACCAACACATGGGGCCCCATGCAAAACGGCAATATCAAGTGTTTATATAATTAGAAGAATGAGATTTGTCACCGATCCTTAAGTATTCCAGCAACAATCATCCTTTAACCCAAAACAAAAAAGTAAGGATTTTTTTATGACTGATTCTTTAGCTGGACAAGACTGCACCCAAAGTATCAGTATTAAAGCTGAACTCCATGCAAACAGCTAAATGCATAGATGAAATGCATATGTGTGAACATGAGTTGTTTTATCCTGCTAAAAGATTAGTATCTAGCTCTGCCACACAGCACTGTCAGGCAAGGTAGAAAACCTGCTTTGTTTTCTGGTACGGTTAAGCAGTGCTGGCCATACACTCCTTGAAATTCCATCTGACTGCTGACTTAATTAAAATTTGAGCTGTGGAGGGCCCTGTTGACATCACTTGGTTAGATAAAAGTTGACTTTTCAATCAACATTTGTCAAAGGAGCCTAGTGGAAATTTGTTGGTTGGATAGTGACTGCAGCTTACTACCTAAGTGGGCAAGAGCCCTGTCAGATGGGAAAAGGAGAGGTAGGAAAGGGAGGGGCAGGTGACAAAGGGAGAAAAGAGAAGGGGAGGCAATACAACATGCATATAACAAGCAACAGATTAACAAATAAGCCTAGTAGGTGTGTAATCTACAATAGATGCCAAAGGACATGATTATAAGGTTGAAGGGTACATAAAACC